AAAAAAAAAAAAAAAAAAAAAAAATTGAACAGTACCATATCGGCGATAGGACTTTGCATTTCAAAAAACCTATTATTTCTCGCCTGATAAACTGCTGAATAACTGGATTTAATCCACCAGTCATGAAACTTTACGCAGCATCCACAAACCATTAATAATTCATCGAGTTCAAACAAAGCAATGAAGACCGTGACGGTGTTTAGATATCTAATCTGAATTAGCATAGATTTTAATGATTTTAATTCTCCGTTTTCTCCCTAGTTTTAGTCTTGATTGAGAAGATATATCAAACACTCTAAATAGTGCTTGACTACATTTCCAAACACCTCAAAGTTCGCCAAAAATACCGTATTTTCAACTCTCTTCTCGGTGTTTGGTAATGTGGTCAAACACGGTCTTTCGTGTTTGATATGTTACGTTAGATATTAAGGATCACAATTAAATAGTGTAACATTTCTTTCTGTATTTTAATACTCACCTCAGATAACAGTAACAAGGAATTCATCGCTCCTCTCTCTTTAAAACTGAAAACAAATAGCACAAAAAAGTTGACCATGGGTTGTCAATGAAGTTAACGTAGATAAAATATTCATTCATTTGTTTGTTAGTTCATTTATTTATTCATTTTCTTACCTCCCTGATGGGTGCAAATTTTCTTTCTTGAAAAAAACCTCCATGTTACTCAATTCTGGAATGCTACATTTCTGCAATACATTAAAAAATACAAATATTATAATGACGATTGAAGCTTTTGAGCAATTAATCACATAAAAAAAAGCTAGGGTAACTTGTCTTTTAAGTTTCCGCAGTCACCTGATCTTACAAAAGTCTACAGATATTTAAATACTAAACACCACATATATAGCCGGACTTAAAACCACGTCAAAAATTATTTTTAAAATAACTGTCTAATTTCTCGCGCGCTAATTGGCTCATTTTTATCATCAATAAGAGTACAGATGGATAAAATTTTAATTCATGCAAGCTTTCTAGTTCATCTTTCAGCTGTCAAACTGTCAACTTTTTAACCAATGAGATTTTATTGACTTTTTTAAGTAGCCAATCAAAAAGCGAGAAAAGCTATCGACAGTGTTCGCGTCACGTTGAATAAAATTCACTTGTCTTTGTTTACGATAAGTTTACGGCGTCTTTTCCCCTCATTTATCCCGGCATTTGACCATTTTGGGGTCTTGTTATTGTAAAAAACAAATTGACGTCAGTTTTTTATTCGTCTGTCCTCTAATTGAAAATAAATTTCGTCATAACATTGGTTCAAAGTTTACTGCGGAACCACTCGCCTGCGGCTTGTTGTTCCACACCCACTACGACAATGTTATGACGCAATTTATCATCAATAAGAGGACAGACGCATAAAAAAACTGACGTTGACTTCTTAAATAACGTGACTTGAAACTACGGCAATAATTATTTTAAAACCCGTGCGCTGAAAAACGTGCAGTGCACGCACAAATAATCTATAAAGTGAAACAGTTCATGGCAATATAAGGCTGGTTTTCACAAGAGCATAAGCCTAAGCCTAAACAAGGCATGCAGACACAGAATGATGTTGAAAATAAGCGCCTTTTGTTAGAAACTTTCCTTACAAACGGCGCTACTTAACAGCACCTTACTGTTTTGTGTATTTTGCTTAATATCAGTTATGCTAAAGAGCAAGTGCAAACCAGGGGCTCGTTTCTCGAAGGTCCCGAAAAGTTTTCGCACCCGGAAAGCTCAGAGCTGTTTTATTCACACATTCTTAATATGAACAGAAGGTTCCTTCGTACAAGGAGTTTCAGGCGTGTACACCTCTCGGTTTTTAGGTGCAGATTAACTAAAAACGGCTTTGCCGGACCGAAAAGTTTCCGGGGCTGTCGAGAAACGGGCCCCAGCCCTTAAAATATGGCACAAAATTCCAGGTTTACCGTTTTGTTAAAGTTACCTCACATGGTGTCTTTCCAACTCCTTTTCGAATTCTGAATGAGGCTGCTACAATATCATCAAACTCTATGCCAACAGGTTTGCTCGTATCACCACCAAAACCCATTTGTTTTAACCTGTTTCTGAGTTCTTCTGAAAACGCGACAGAAGTGCGCGGTTGAGCAAATGGGTTCAGCGATTGGTCATACGGCTCACGTGATTTCCTCCGAGTCTTCAATTCCGTTGCCATTCTATTTTAAATCAAATACCTCGTTTACACGATATTTTCATCGGCCTTCTACTTTTTGATGGAATTTTAATGCTTTGATTCAATCATTGAGTGATCAGAATTGATTACATTTGTGATGTAATCACTTTGGCATTGTCTCGTCAACAATGACGTCGAAACTAACCTTGACGTAACAATCGTGTTTTAAAAATTCCCGCGAGGCGATAGTTTCACAGACATGGAACCAGATTTTGATCCGAAGTTATCGGAAGAAGCTCGTCAAAATAACAATGATGAGCCGACCGCTTTGTTTGCTCAGTCTCTTTGCCTTTCTCTGGATCCGATCCTAGACGATTCAAAACCAAGCCCAACAGAACAGTCCAAGAATAACTCCGAAACAGTTTGTTTTAAGCCGCATACGTCTGGGAAACGACACTCTATTTTAGGAACTGGTAATAGATCTGCTTTTAGAAAACCGAATTTAAGTGAACTGATAGAGAAATATCAGAACGCCAAGGAAAGAGTGAAAGAATGGAACATTGATAAGATGTGGGCCAGCCGCGTTGAACGAGCAAAGAGGAACGCTTTGGCATCGCTTTCCGACATTGTAACTGCCGCGTTCTGGATTCGCGAAGGTGTCCCTAGGACATCATGTGAGGTATAATTATAGCTAGAATAGAACAGTCATGGGGTTTATTTAGCCTACACATATTTCTTTTATGAGGGAAATCACACTAGGACGAGGAAAGTTACTATTTTGGGAAGAAACTATTTTGCTGCGTCGGCGGAAAAATTAAACACTTAGTTTATTTGAAATAACTTGAAGTTGAATAAGATTGATTAACCACCGTAAAGAAAATTAAAGTCTTATCATAATAACAGGTAAACTAATTTGGCCATTTCATTTTAATCGACTCATCGATCATCAATCGATCAATCGCTCGGCCAATCGAACACTCTGTCGGCCTATCGGTCGGCGTTCGGCCGGTCGGTCGGTTCATAGGTCAACCGGTTGGTCGGTCGGTCGGTCGGTCGATCGGTCAGTCAGTGACGTGAATCAGACATTTAACTCGGCAGCACGTTTTTTCAGTGTTACCCAAAAGCGATGTTTTGTCCTTAGAGAGCCTCCTCTATTCCGGAGATAGACGAAGTCGATGTGTATTTCAAAAGAGAGTACCAAAACCCTTCAGGCAGTTTTCATGATAGGGGTGCTCGCTATGCATTACTCCGACTACATCAGGTAAGGTCAGACGTTTTTCATTCAAGATCAGGTAACTTAAAAAAGAAGTAAATAGTAAAATAAAGAGAGCATGAAGAGTAATACAGCTGATCTCAAGGTAATCCCTTTTAAGTTATATTTAGATCACTCGCGGATTCGGAAATCCCAGGAGGTTCGAGAAAAAATCCAAACGTGTCACACGATTTTGCTCACGTGGACACGAAAACACCCACGCAACGAAAACATCCACGAAAATATCCACGTAACGTACATGGTGACATTATTCGTGGAAGAAAGAACTTGAGAGGGTTGCCTTGGGGATAAGCTCTATCTTTCTCCCTTCATCCTCTCTTGCAAATAAAGCAACGTGAAATTACGCGGTCAAACCACCTGTTAAAAGAGCAGAACATTTCTGCAAAAGACCTTACCAACCGACCTCCAAAAGTGTGTCATATCTTATTTTCTTAATGGAGCTACATCACGGTTTTCATTGCTTGAAATGTTTAACCTAAAGTTTTCAAGTTCGTCATTTCTAATCCATGTCAATTTTCTCCATCATTTAAAACTATCCTTGTTCCTTAATGGTTTATCATTATCTCTTTGGTGTTCTTCTATCTTGGTGAACTACTATTTTAATTTCAGCATTCCTTCAATTTTAAGGTAATTTTATACAGGTCCAAAACAACTCAGGATGCCATAACTGAGCTCCTTTAAATGAAAAAAAGCACTTGTTACTGGACTGGTCCAACAAATAGTGCTTGTGGGAATACTTCCATAGTTCCACTCGCATAATTTTCCACAGTTTTTTACATATCAAAAGAAGATGACGGGTAACAGATTTAATCCCGCTAATAACAATCCCTTCAACCCCACTGAAGTTTTTTGTTTTTGTTTTTGTTTTTGTTTTTTGTTTTGTTTTGTTTTAATCATTCCAGTTATCCCAGGAGAGTCTTGAAATGGCGTGGTGACATTATGCTAGGAAAAACTGGGTACCATGTCTAAAAATAACTTGAAAAGGACTATTCTGTAAATAATTAAGGCCTATATAGTGGATTAACTCTCTTATGCTTACTCATTTCAAATTGCATTTGAACTTTTATGGTAACCTATACTTACAGAGTCAAAAGAACCTTGGAGTAATCACTACTTCGTCTGAAAACTTTGCTGTGGCGCTTGCCTACCAAGGGAATTCCCTCGGGATTCCCGTAACTGTGCTTCTACCAGAGAACACGAGTCCTGTTAAAATCAGAATGTGCGAGAAGTATTACGCAGATACCAGGATTGCTGGAGTGGACGAGGGAAAGGTGCTAAATATGATTCTAGTTTCATACTTTCTTAGTTGTAGCAGCCCGAATTTAAGGTTACTTCCCACCTTCGCGAGTGCCCTTCTGGAAAAAAAATTGTACGCGCGCCAGTTTCAATAAAACCCCAACAAACTACATATCATAAGAAAGCTTAATAAATGTACTTTACGAAAAAAATACAATTTTAGCAATGTTTTCTTTTAGGAAGTGTCAGGAGGCGGCAAGGCGTGAAACGACCGAGGCTTCTTCTATTGAATTTATCGGGTATCGGATTCCGCAGTACGGGCAAAATGGCTGCACAGTCTTATTCACAAGCCATCAATCAACAAAAGTGTGTCGGGCTTTTTCGATATTCTGATTTGTTTTCTAGATATCCACTTCTAAAGTTGGAGTAGCTAAAAATATGCGAGACGTGTTGCATAAATGGACGCCACGGGAAAAATGTGTTAAATATCAAAATTTCCCGACACACTTTGGTTTGTCATTATCTCTGGAATGTTCTGGCGAAATTTCACGAAAAGAGCTTTCACGTGGGAATTTTTGTCAAGTGCGTGATGTAAATAAAAATGTGCAAATGACATGATATACGAGCGATGAGCGTTTGCCGCGAAAATTTCCCCAGGGTTCTCGCCCGTTGACAAGATTATGACACCTTCCTAGTTTATTAACTTTATTTGAAAATACGTTTTTTCTAAATAACTCGGCCGCTTTTTGAGATTTTTAATGTTTTTCTTTTGGAAACACTAGATAAAATGACGAACTTAAATTTTGTCAAATAAAAGAAAAAACGATTTTTTTTGGCCTCTGATGGTGGGAAGTAACCTTAAGCTTAGTGCAGCCATTGCAAGTGTATGGTATTAAGTTTCCTTATGCGGAATGCCACTGAGATAAAAAATATCTGCCTTTGTCTTAGTGCATGTAGTTTACTAAACACACATTCTGCCCTTGTAGGAATTAGAATGATGAAAAAAATAGGTTTTCATCATCATTCTTAACTTTTTTTATCATTTCTTTTTGTGTCCAATTCTGTCTAGTTAAGGGAGAGGGCCATAGAAATTGCAAAAGAACGAGGATTGACATTCATAGAGGAGTAAGAATATTTTCTGTTATTGTTTTTTATTTTTTGTTTTACTGAAAATTTCGTCTAAAATTGTAGCAATCTTTTCTCTACCTGTTCTGCTAGACACGTAAACTTTATTAAGGTTGAATGAAAGATATATCCTTACGGACTGACAAATTATGGTCTACTCATATTTACCAAACCACATAACAAATCTTACTTATTACTGCGTAACTATGGTTTGTGAAACTCTAGGCAACATGTATACCGATAATGTCATTTTTCATATGACAGTTAAACTCGCCGTTTTTTTTTTTTTTTTTTTTTTGTTATTCTTTTGTAATAGACGAGCAAGAGATCGTTTAAGATTTCAAAAATTTGTACTGGTCAGGTTTTGGCTTGAAAAAAAATCTCTAGAACTACCGAACAGTTTCTTAGCTTCACAAAAAANTTTCTCAATATCATTCAGAAACAATAATCCGGATGTCGTGTGCGGGCAAGGCACGATGGGATTGGAGATCGTGGACCAGCTGGAAGGAGTCGACGCTATCGTTGTGCCTGTAGGAGGAGGGACTCTACTGGCTGGGACTTGTGTAGCTGTTAAAACTCTGTACCCTTCTATAAAAATAATCGTACGCACCGTTTTCTATAATTCTTATCAAAATGTCTATCATCTGCACAGTATTATAGAGTATTTACTGACCAGGGGACCCTTTTATCATCATCATTTGTCTGTTCTCCTGGGGGAGAATTGGGGCAGAGTAACGGGAAACCCTTTACTGAGACAAAAATATGTGATATATACCTCTTACTAGCCGAGTTCGAGGTCTGCACTGTAAGTTACGGATCGAGTTTTTGCCCCATTGATTTATGGCCCAAGCGCGAAGCGCGCGGGCCATAAATCGAAGAGGAAAAACGAGGGTTTGTAACTTACAGTGCGGACCGAGAATACGAGGTTAGTAAGATATATGTTTACTATATATCTGTTGTGTGGTTGACGGGATCGGGAACTATTTCTATTCACCCGGAACGGCTTCAAATTTCTGACGCACCTCGAAAGCAAAACGAGTAAATTTGAAATCGTTGTTATTAATTGACTTTGAAGTCGTTAGCAGGTTTTAATGCACAGTTTCAGAAGTAAAAGAAATTTTTAAACTTTTACTTGCTAAAAAAGTTAAGAAACATTTTGGTAACAAAAACAGTTTTCAATTTTAGTGGTCCTTACAGTAGAATACGGCCCACTAACTTGACCAATCACGGCGCGCGTACTAACCGAGAGATATAATAAAGTACGGTAGATACATTACGTCATATTTCTGTGACCGTTAGTAATGTGATTTGCAGGGAGTGAAAAGCGAAGGAAGACTTGATTTTAAAGCTACCTTCCACGATGGGACGACAACGGTAACAACTGAATCGAATAAACTGAGTTCGGTTGATGGTAAGTCATAGAGTGATATGCCTTGACTTGCTTTTTAGAGGAAACTGGTGTTCCTGAGAGGCATTTTGCAATCAAAAACAAGGCTCGACAAAGGTCAAACGTAAAACTTTTGTTTTAGCCTGATCATTTTCATATACATCTTACTCGCATGTTTCTGTTGCCTTAAAACTTTACTTGTTGGAATTGCACTCAGTTATCTGGTGAGATTAACTAGTATCGTCCGTCTCTCTTAGATTTGGAATACAGCGAGATTACAGACGCTCCCTTGAAACTCGCCGAGGGTCTTATGGACAAGCGCGTCACTGTAAAGTATGCCCACTTACTCATCCTTTTGTCACCGACGTTTGGTTGCATGATTTTCAAACCAGAATATGGTACCATTATTGAAACCAGGAGTAATGTAGATTATTCGATTGAGTTTATAACTTGTAAGAAGACTTTAAGTAAGAGTATAGCAACATCTACAAGTTAATAGCTGGGTTAAGTGTGGCTTAGTACAGCTAAAACTAGTTTAGTCACAGAGCTAAGCACTCGTTTATCACTGAGATTTGAAACGTGAAGAAGCAAAGAGTGTAACTAGTGGGAGAGTGGGAAAAACGCAACAAGAACATACGAGACGTAAAGGAGACGATTCCTACTTTTCTCGGATTGTTTCGAGCAAGCAACAAACGTTTATTGAAACAATCAACCCGATCAATTGTTGTTCTTGTTTTTATTTTTCAGAGAAGACCATATTGCATTAGCTATGCTCAGATTGTTAGAAAATGAGAAAGTAGTTTTAGAAACAAATGGTGCAGCTGGGCTAGCGGCTCTTATTGGAGGATACCTGCCTGAACTCAAGGGAAAACGGTGAGATTAAATACTACACACCTTGAATATTCCACCAATGAAATGGCTTTTCAGCAATCTAACCAGTCCATGATGGGCGAGCTCCTATATATGTACATATCACAGTGTGGTATATCACGGTGTACCACAAGAAATTCTGAACA